TTTCGAGCCTGATCGATCTGTGATGGTTCCAGGGCCCGAACCTGGGCGAAACGCCCGGTGCGAAGAAACCGCCACGCCCAGATCTCAGGGGCCTCCGATCCGCTTCCGACGCACCCAGGGCCCCGAGACACGGCCCGCCTCGTGCAGCTCTGAAGCCTGCTCTGAATCACTGGCACTGCGCTCCGTCGCCGCCCCCGAGGATGCGCAGAGCATCGGGGAAGCACGGGCGAAAAGCGGCACCCGCCGGCCCGGAGAGGCAAGAAAAACACAGCGCCGGCCCCCCCCCCCCCCCTGCCGCCACGCGGGGCGACTCCCCGCTCCGCTCCGGGCCCCGCCCGTGGCCGGGCCGGCCCGCGGAACCGCCTTGAGCCGTCTTTTTGGGACTCGGGCCAGCTTGCTTCCGACTGCACGTACGAGTGACCCTTCGCCGGAGTGACCTTTGGTGCGGGCCCATGAGGGGCCCCCCGATCGCCGATCGCGATGCGGTCGTAGCGTGGTGCGCGCCTGTGTCCGGCCCCCCCGCGGCCCCCCAAAAGCCGCGCACCAAAGGTCACCTTTACCCAGGGTCACTCTTGCGTGTAGCCGATACTTGCATGGGCGGACGGGGGGGGGGGGCCTGAGCCCGAGGCAAGCCGAGCACGATCTGACGTGCGGCAATCACGCAAGGGCGAATGGCACTCGCAGGCTCGTAAGCGACTGAGGAGGGGCATTGCACAAAACGACGCGAAGATCGGGACAAAATCGGATCGGGATAACTCGAAATCTCTGAGAATCGACAGGTCTGGAGGATGCATTGGGCGCCGCGGCCGCTCCAGAGCGTTCCGGAACGCGCTGAGAGCGCTCCCGAACGCTCTGGAGCGATTTATCCCGATCCTAGCTTTGTTTTATTGCAGGGGGGGGGGGGGGGGGGCGAACGCCGTGCAGGTGAGCTTGCCCGGTGTCTGAAGAGAAGCGGGCCCCCTCCGCTCTCGGCCGGCGTGGCGCGCCGCGGCCTGCCGGCGCGCGGCAGCTGCCCGTGAGCTCACCACCCACCAAACCACCCCAACCCAACCCGAAGGCTCAGATTTACCCTCGATTTCTAGTGGGGGGGGGTCGGGAAACATCGAAAAAACACATGTGGAACCCTTACCCCCCCCAACCCGAAATTCGGGTCTTCGGGTTGGGTTGGGGTGGCCTGGTAGGTAGTCAGTGAGGAAGAGGAAGCTTGGTGGACGGTTTTTCTCGGGGGGGGATCGACGTCTTGTCAAGTCCGATGCCCGAAGACCATCACTTCACTACTTTTGGGCCCCAGGGCCCACTGAGGCCCCAGGGGCCCCAGACCAGTGAAGGGATGCTTTTTCCCACGTCAGGACCCCGAAATTCATCACTTCACTAAACCGAGCCCAGGACGAAAGTCAGGGGCCGAATTGCTGCTGTGATGCCACGTCGGCCTCGTATCAAGGGAGGCAGCACCTCCCGGACCGGTAAACTGGCGTTACCTAAACGGCCCTTGGCGTTTATTGAACAGCCCTGCCCCTTTCGACTCCTTCTTTGGGCGCGTTCATTAGACGGCGTCGCGTGTCGGGGTGGTTGTTATCGGGGTGGAATTGTTTGCCTTTTATCCTACCCTGACACGTCGATTAGCGAATTGGCCGTCTTCGGTTCGCGAGAGGGCGTCGCGGCCGTCATTCTTGCGGGTCCAGGTCCGTCGGCTTCGGTCCCAGGCCGTTTTCACTCAAGGGTGGTTTACTAACTGGAGGTTTGTCTACCGCCGATTTTCTAGACTTGGGTCGGCCTGTCCCCCTCCAGGGGGATCTTGGGCGGAAGCTGAAAATGCTCAAAAGATTTTCCAGAAATGTTCAAAAATAGTCAAACATCGTCCCCAGAGTTTTTTTTGACTACGTTTGAATATTCCTCCTGGCCTGTCCGACTTAATTCTAGGCCTCCTGGTTGGGGTCCGAGTAACCCCTCCATCCCTTTCCTTAACAATAGCTCCTCCCTGTCGCACCCCGGGGCTGGTCGAAGGGGCGGGCCGTGAGGAAGAGATCGACTGGCGGATGGGTTTTTCTAGGTTCTAGGGTGGGGCCCGAGTAACGCCTCCATCCCCCTTCCTTATTAACAATAACTCCTCCCTGTCGCGCCCCGAGGCCAGTCGAAGGGGCGAGCCGTGAGGAAGAGAACGAGTGGCGGATGGGCTTTCTGGGCCTCCCGAATGGGGTACGAGTGCTGTCGAAACCGATGGTAAGGATGGGTAACCTTCCCGAGGGTACCCCTTAGGCGATGTTTAAGAAAACTTAATTTTTCGGCCAGGGTCTCGATTATTCTTAATGTTTCAATGTAAATCCTAAGATTCGAATGGGAATGTTGGGTTTTTTACTCAAGATCTGAGACTATGAATTTCTTAACCCATGATTTCTTAAGCATTTCGCAGGGTGTACCCCTTCATCCGTCTTCATCCGTGTCTTTTTGGCTCATCCTTGGCTACTCTCGATGGCCCGCCGCGCTCGCGCAAGCTTCAGCACGGGCGTCCAAGAGGCTTGCACCCTCATCGCGCACCCTTCTTATCAGTTTTGACTGTAGATGTCACCACCCACCAAACCGCCCCAACCCAACCCGAAGGCCCAAATTTATCCTCGATTTCCAGTGGGGGGGGGTCGGGGAACGTTGAAAAAACACATGGTATCCGTATCCCCCCAACCCGAAATTCGGGTCAAATTCGGGTCTTCGGGTTGGGTTGGGGTGGTCTGGTAGGTAGTCAAGATGGGGTCGGAGGATGGCGCCGCATCGCCGACGCATCGGCGATGCGGCTCGATGTGGATCCCGCTTTTCTCCACGCCGACGTCGCCGATGCATCGCCGACGTCGCCGATGCATCGCCGATGTGCTGTCGATGCGGCGCGATCCTCCGACCTCATCTACTCGGGCCCCATCCAGGAGGCCTCTCATCTTTTCGGCCTCCCAGGGCCCTCGCCAGATCTCGGAGCAGTCAGGACACGGCTTGGGGCGAGAAGCCGACCGCGGGGAGGGGCCAGGGCCCTCCAGAGGTCCACTCTGAGACAAAATCGGCACGTTGGGGCGTGCAGCCGCTCAGCTTGTCGGCGCGCTCGAAAAGAACAGCAGCGCAAGCATAAGCTTTCTGTGGTCCGCGCGGCTTTCTTGCATCGGCGCGGCGCTGGAGCACCCTCCCAAGGCGCGCGGAGCGCGCCAGGGGCGCTGCCAGAGCGGTTTGTAGCGCCGATTCAAGAATTCCTCGCGCACCTCGGCAAGTCTATGTTCATGCAGGTCTTTCTCCTTTTGTCTTCGGCCCACTCCTCCTGGGATCTTTTCTCCGCGTGGGATCCATTCCTCATGGCCCCAGGACTCGAAACCGGCCTCCCACGAGTCGAAGCTCTGGGCTTCGGCTCGCGGCAGGCAGCCCTTCGGCCCGCGCGCCAGGGGGTCCAGCGCCGATCCGAGAAATCAGCGCAGACCTCCAACAGTTTATGCTGATGCCGTCGGCCTACTCTGTCGACCTCGCGGGGCTCGCAGTCGTCGTCGTCGTCGTCGTCGTCGTCGTCGTCGTCGTCGTCGTCGTCGTCGTCGTCGCGATTTCATTGTCTTACGTGTTTGCCCCAGCGATTCATTCTTCTTCTCCTGTATTCGACCCGCGCCCGCCGGAGGGTACCGCTCGCAGACGTGCGTGGACGTCGCGCCGTCCGTTGTCGCCGCCATGAGCCTGCGGAACGCCGGCCGCCCGTCGATGCGGTGGCGCGCGGCGCAATCTAGCGATGGTTACTTCCTACCGACTTTTTGCGAGGGACTGATGGTTGTCAGGCCAGGAATGGAGCAGATGGGGAGGATAAGAGGAAGAAGAGGAGCAGTAGTAATAATAATGATAATAAGAAGAGCCATATCAATCATAATAGTAGCAACCACAATAATGCTACTAATATTACGATTAATAATGATACAACTATGGACAGCACTGATAGTAACAATACGAATGTGAGTTCTAACGCTACCAAGCATACTGATAATCCTAAAAGTAATTCCGGCCATGATAATATTATCACTAGTGTCAATAATACCATTACGAATGACACACGCGATCTTAATGTTACGAATGGTACTAGTGACCGACGTAATGGTACTAGTACAAGTACTATTACTACTACTACTACTACCACCACTACTACTACTACTACTACTACTACTACTACTACTACTACTACTACTACTACTACTACTACTACTACTACTACTACTACTACTACTACTACTACTACTACTACTACTACTACTACGACTACTACTACTACTACTACTACTACTAACTACTACTAACTACTACTACTAACTACTAACTAACTAACTAACTAACTAACTAACTAACTAACTAACTAACTAACTAACTACTAACTACTACTACTACTACTACTACTACTAACTAACTACTACTACTACTACTACTACTACTACGACTACTACTACGACTACTACTACGACTACTACTACTACTACTACTACTACTACTACTACTACTACTACTACTACTACTACTACTACTACTACTACTACTACTACTACTACTACTACTACTACTACTACTACTACTACTACTACTACTACTACTACTACTACTAACTACTACTACTACTACTACTACTACTACTACTACTACTACTACTACTACTACTAACTACTACTACTACTACTGCTACTACTACTACTACTACTACTACTACTACTACTACTACTACTACTACTACTACTACTACTACTACTACTACTACTACTACTACTACTACTACTACTACTACTACTACTCTACTACTACTACTACTACTACTACTACTACTACTACTACTACTACTACTACTACTACTACTACTACTACTACTACTACTACTACTACTACTACTACTACTACTACTACTACTACTACTACTACTACTACTACTACTACTACTACTACTACTACTACTACTACTACTACTACTACTACTACTACTACTACTACTACTAGGGTTGTCCGGGTTTCTTGTTCCGCCTCAAGAGGCTCCGCGCTGCAGGCGCCGCCGCGGGCCCGTCAGCAGGCTGACCCTCCTTGCCATGCTTCTTCTTGGCCCTCCTCCGCTGCTTTGGGGGGGCTCCACCGCGTGTGCCGCCACGTCAACGTCCATTGTCTTGGGCACTAGGGTTACCTGCTCCGCCGAGAAGGGGGGCTCCACAATCTCTCCCAGCGCCTCCACGACCGCGTCCCACAGCGCGTCGAAAGGCGCAGGCGCCTGCTCCTCGATACGAGCCACGGGCTGCTCCTCGAGTTGCAGCACGTCGTCTTTACCTCCTGAGGCAGCCCTTTCCCATTGCTCCGGATTCGCTGGCACCGATGACGGGGAACGCCTTCCCGATCGAGGAAGAGGAGACGAAAGTAGGACGAGGAGGAGGACGAGGAGGAGACGAGGAAGAAGAGGAGGACGAGGACGAGAACGAGGAGGACAAGGAGGAGGGAGGGACGACGACGACGATGGCCACCACGACGACGACGACGCCGACGCCGACGCCGACGCCGACGCCGACGCCGACGACGACGACGGCCGACGCCGACGCCGACGTCTACGCCCCACGCGGACGCCAACGCCAACGCCGACGCCGACGCCGACGACGACGTCGCCAACGCCAACGCCGACGCCGACACCGCCGCCGCCGCCGACGACGACGACAAAGACCCCAGCGCCGCCCGAAGCGCGCGCCAGGGAGGGGGTCCATGCCGATCCGAGAAGCTCCGCGCGGACCCTCCGATCCGAGAAACTCCGCGCGGACCTTCGAAACTCTATGCCTATGCAGTTTCCCGCTCTTCCAGTATGGGGCCAGCCGGCAGGGACCGAGCGCGCTCAGCAATATCTCGGGGCTCTGCTGATCCACAACCAGAGGCCGCCCAGCAGCTCGGAGGAGCGCCTCGGCGTTGCCTGGGTACTCCCCTGAGGCACGGGGCGAAGCTGGCCGCTTCGTCGCTGGGCCACACACACACACGCTCACACAAACACACACGCACACACGCGCACACACACAGACACACGCAGACATACACAGACATGCACAGACGTACACAGACATACACACATACATACATAGACACACACGCACACACATACACAGACACACACACAGGCACACACAGACATGCACAGACATACACAGACATACACAGACATACACACATACGTGCATAGACACACACACACACGCACACACACACGCACACACATACACATACACACATACACACAGACGTACACATACATATACATACATACGCAGACATACACAGGCATACACACATACATACATACATTGACACACACGCACACACACATTCACAGACACACAGACACACACAGACACACACAGACATACGCAGGCATACACAGACATACACACGCATACACGCATAGACATACACACCCGCACACCCACATACACAGACACACAGACACGGACACCCACACCCACATACGCAGACACACAGACACACACAGACGTACACAGGCATGCACAGACATACACACATACATACATAGACGCACACACACGCACACACACGCGCACACACTTATACGCAGACACACAGACACACACAGACACACACAGACATGCACAGACATATTCACATACACACATACATCATAGACACACACACGCACAGGTACACACACGTACACCGACACACAGACACATCCATACAGACATACACAGACATACGCAGGCATACGCAGATATACACACATACATAGATAGACACACACACACACCCGCACACCCACATACACAGACACACAGACACACACAGACATACACAGACATACACAGACATACACATACATACACACATACATGCATAGACACACACACACACGCACACACACAAAGGCGCGCCTGCTTTTTATCCATCAGGGGCAACTTTAGGTGTGGATAGGCTCGGGGCGGAATGCATCTACATCCAGTCGGGCATTGATCACCGCCGAGGGTTTGATAGCCGACCCCGTCCAGGAACGTGCTGTCTTGCTATCGTGGGTCTCTCGCCGCTGTACTGTCAATGTATCGCTGGTTCCAGGTCGATGTTCCCCCCCCCCCCCCCTGAGTGGGTCCCTCCCTTTCGTTCCCCCTCAATCCACCTCCTGGGCGGCCGGGAGGCCACCTCTTCTCCGCCTCCGCCTCCGCCTCCGCCTCCGCCTCCTCCTCAGTCGTTGTGGCCATCGTCGCTGTTGCCCCTTCCTCCTCCTTGTCGTCGTCCTCCTCCTCCTCCTCCTCCTCCTCCTCCTCCTCCTCCTCCTCCTCGTCTCCCCCTCCTCCTCCGCCTCCTCCTCCACCTCCGCCTCCGCCTCCGCCTGCGCCTCCTCCTCCGCCTGTGCCTCCTCCCCCTCGTCCTCCTCCCCCTCCCCCCACGCCCGCCGGCGCCCGCCGCCTCCCAGTCCGCGGGCGCCCAACGCCAGGTGGATTGCCTGCGACTGCACCGACCTCACAGGCCGGATCACCCGCCCTCGGGGAGGGGGGGGGGGGCGAGGGCGATGGCACAGAGGGCGACGGCGGCCCGATGGCGAGATGGCGAGGGCGGCGGCATCGAAAAAGGCAGTCACGTCTCTTCATCCCTTTCGTGCCGTGGCTCGCACCCGCTTCTCGACTCCGGGGGGGGGGGGGGGGGGGCGAGGGGCGTGGCGCAGCTATACTCGGGAGCTGGGCCGCCCGGGCAGAGCCCAGCGCTTCCGAGGCGAGGCCGGCGCGCCGAGGCGCGGCGGCGCGGCGCGGCGGCGCGCCTCGGGGGGTGACGCAGGGCAGGGGGGGAGCCAGGAGGCTCTGCGGACGGCCCGGGAGATTCATGAGGACAGCACAACCCACCCCCACCCCCACCCAGGGCACCCACCTCCGACCTGGTGGTCCAGGGTGCCCTGGGAGGGGGTGGGGGTGGGTTTTTGGGCCCCGCGGCTCTTACAACCCACCCCCACCCCCACCCAGGGCACCCTGGACCACCAGGTCGGAGGTGGGTGCCCTGGGTGGGGGTGGGGGTGGGTTGTGCTGTCCTCAATTCAGGCGATCGCAAGCATGGATCAAGGGGGCGTGGGCCAGCTGCGGGTGCCGCTTCCGCGGGAAAAATCGCGGACCTTTCCGCCGCCGGGCGAGGCGGCACCGGCCGCATGTTGGGGAGGGGGGCCGCGCGCCGAGGCCACGGAGATCGCTCCTCCACGTCTGCGCGCCCCCCGACCGGTCGGGGCCAGGGCGGGGACGAGTCCGCGCTCCAGGGCGTGCTGGAGCGCTCTCGGAGCGTCCCGGGACGCTCCGAGGAGGCCGCGGCGCCCGAGACATCCCCCGGAGCCGCCCGAGCTCAGGGAGATTCTCGAGGTGTCCTCACCCGACTCTGTCGTCCTCGCCCTTGCCTCGTCTCATCCTCGGGCCCGCCCCCCCCTCCTTGGCATTGCTCGGACGTGTGCATTCTTTCTCGGCGAGGACCATCGAGGAGCATCCTGGACCATCGAGCAAAAAAACACACCCACATAACCGAAAGTGCACGGGAAATGGGCGTCCGAGCGACGGCAAGCCTCCCCCCCCCTCCCCCCTCCCCCGATAGCCTGACCCTGTGGGGTGCGCAGGTCCGAACGGGGTTGCGCAGCACCAGCGCGCGCGGGCGTGCGCGGGGCTGCCCGAGGCGAAAAGGTCAGGTCATCGGCAGGCCCCTTCCCCCCCCCTCCCCCCAGGCAGCTTGGGTTATCGCCCCCCAAAAACAGAACGAGCGGGGGTGGACAGAACCCCCAACAGTGACACGTCGACTAGTGAGTTGTCCGTTTTCGGCTCTCGAGAAGGCGCCGTGGCCGTCATTTTCCAGGCTTGCGCCCGCCAGGTCTGGGCCTCAGGTCGTTTTCACTAAACCACGTTTTGCTAAAGGGGGGTCTGTCCATCCGCGAACCTGGGTTACCGCCCCCCAAAAACAGAACGAGCACCAGGACAGGGTTAAATCGGTCCAGAGCGTTCTGGAGCGCTCTCCGAGAAGGCAGCGGCGCCCGAGAGACCTTCCAGAGCAGCCAGACCTCAGAGATCCCCGACTTGTTTGTGTCCGAAGCGGTTTTTGTCTTGGCTGGCCTCGCCTCAGGAGGGCGGGCATGGCGGGGAGAAGGCTCAGAAGGCCTCCGCCTTCGGAAGAAAGCTTTCGAAGCCTCCTCCGCACACGATTTGGGGCCCTCAAAGGCTTGCGGTTTTCTTGTTTGGGAGGTGGGGGGGGTCTGAATTGTGGCCTGTTGTGCAAGAGTAGACCGGGGGCCAAACTTGAAACAAAAAGGAAGTATGGGCTTTTCATTTTTTTCCAGTCCTCGGCGCTGTTCGGCGCTGTTTCTTGTTTGTGCCTCGCGGGTTTTGTTAGCCAGGCCCCTCAGGGGTGTGGGATCTTCCAAACCCCCCTGGGGTTCTGGAGGCCTCCTACGAGGCCTGGAGAGCCGTCGGAAGGATGTCTCGGGCTGCGCGGGAGCGTGTTGGGCCGTTCTTTACGTTCTGGGGGCTCCTTGGGGTCGTCTTGGGCTGTCCTTGACCGTCTTGGGGGGAGGCGCGGTACCGGCCAGATGTCAGGTGATGTGGGATCTCCGAGTAGGAAGGAGTCCCTTTTGAAAAAAGGTAATTAATGGAATTCCATATTTTTTTCAAAATCCTCGATCTTCGAGGGTTGGAAGTGGGAAAACGTCAGAAGGCGAGAAACATTAGAAACACCATTGGAAATCAACGATATTACCCTCTATGGGCTCTCTCGGGACGGCTCTTGCAGCTCTCTTGGGCTGTTCTTGGAGCCTCGTCGGGGTCTTTTTGGGGCCTCTAAGGGATCGGGGCTGTGTTGGGGGCCTCTGGGGGGTCCTGGAGGCCTCTCGGAGGCCTCTGGAAGCCTCCTGCTCCCGCTCTTGGGCCCATCTTGGGCCGGTTCTGGGGTGGTCTGGGGCTGTCCTGGGCGCCTCTGCGGCAGTCTTGGAGCCTTCTTGGCCAGTCTTGGGGCCGTCTTGAGGGTCTCTTGGGTGGTCTTGGGGCGGTCTTGGGCGGCTCTTCGGCGTTCTTGGAGCGTTGGAAGCTCGCAAACGCGAGAAGCCAACAACATTGGAAACAACAACTGCCGCCGTGCGCATCGTGATCTACATAGGTGTCCGCATAGGAATCCGCATAGGAGTCTGGTCCGAAGTTGTCGTCGTCGTCGTCGTCGTCGTCGTCGTCACCGTCGTCGTCGTCATCGTCGTCGTCGTCGCCGCCGTCGTCGTCGTCGTCGTCGTCGTCGTCGTCGTCGTCGTTGTCGCTCGTCGCTCGTCGCTCGTCGCTCATCGTCGTCGCGCGAGCGGACGCAGCTGGAGCCTTTTTGTTGTTGTTTTTTTTGTTTATTTATTCCGGGCCGATGACGGCAATCATTTGGGGGTGGGGTGGAGGGGGCCGATGACGTCACGCTTCGCGCTGGCGGCGTGTGGGAATGCCTCGGAATGACCGAGGACGGGTAGCAGCAGCATGCCGGTGGCGATCTGCACCACAACGCTTGTTTACACCACAGCGCCTGCGTGCACCACAGCGCCTGTGTACACCACACCTCCTATGTACACCACTGCAGCCGCGTGCAACACAGCGCCGGTGTGTGCCACAGTGCCTGCTGGCACCACAGCGCTTGTGTACACCACAGCGCCTGTGTACACCACATCAGCCGTGTGCAACACAGCACCAGTGTACACCACAATGCGCGGGTGCACTACAGCGCCTGAGTAGACCACGGTGCATGTGTGCACCACAGCAACCGTGTGCAACAAAACACCGTTGTTGTATGTAGAGTGTTATAAGAAATCCTTATGACAAAGAGCACCTGTGGATCCAACTGGAAAGGAATCCTTCTGGAAAAAGGAACGCCGCTGGAATCTACGAGTCGTCCAGAGTCCGCCCGCATCATCCTAACTCGTCCCATCTGCGTCCAGGAGGCTCCAACTAGATTGGCCGTCCGAGAACCAAGTGGACTGATTACCATTTTGCGGTGCACGTTGGGATGCGCATGTGCGCTGTAGCGCCGACCCGCGCGACAGGGCGGAAGGGGAGGGATGAGGAGGAGGAGGAGGGCGAGGACGAGGAGGAGGAGGAGGAGGAGGAGGAGGAGGAGGAGGAGGAGGGGGAGGACGAGGAGGTGGAGGTAGATGAGGGAAAAGGGAAAAACGTCGCATTATATTATCAGCAGTTCCATGGCGTGGCGTTTAGCTGTCCGCAGCAGATTCTCACCGACATGCTCCTTCTACCTGTCCTGAGCACGCAGGCGCTCTGGTGTGCACCAGCGCTGCGTTGCACGCGGATGCTGTGGCGTAGACAAGCGGTGTGGTGTGCACAGGCGTTGCGGTGCACGTAAGCATTGTGGTGTAGACAGGCGTTATGTTGCACATGGCTGCTGCGGTGTACGGATTCGCTGTGGTGTACACCGGCGTTGTGGTGCACGCAAGCAGTGTGGTGTACACAGGCGCTGCGTTGCACACGGCTGTTGCGGTGTAAGCAGGCGCTGTAGTGTACACAGGTGCTGTGGTGCCCGCGACCATTGTGGGGCAGATCGCCACCTACATGCTGCTCGTGTCGTCGTCGTCGTCGTCGTCGTCGTCGTCGTCGTCGTCGTCGCTCGTCGCTCGTCGCTCGTCGCTCATCGTCGTCGCTCGCGCGGGCGCGGCTGTGGTGCCGGAGCTACACGGCGGGGAGGTGGGGGCATTACGTCATAACCTGCCCATGACGCCCGTCATCGCCGATCATAAAGAAACGCGATCTAACTACGACATTTCTTTTCTTTGTTCATTTTTTCTTGAGAGTGGCGACGACGACGATGACGACTCCGACGGTTCCGACGACGACTCCGACGACGATGACGACGGACAAACGTGACGAGACCCCGATCCACACATCCAGGCCTGCAGTGAGACCTGCCCCCCCCCGCACGACGGGGCGGCGATGGGGAACGCGACGCGCCACGAACCGCCCGTCGTGTTTTGTGGCCTATCCCTTGTATGCAGACAGGGGGAAAAGTCCATCTCTCTTTCTCCCCTTTGCCCCCCCTCTTCGTCGAAGCCTCGAAGCTGCTGACCAAGTCGTCGCAGTCGCTGAAGCCCTGCCCGTGTCTGTCAAGCCCACGCCAGGTGGGGTGCGGAGAGGTTCGCTCTCGCACTCGGCAGCCAAGACCTCTTCCAGCTCCGCGATCCTCTTCCTCTTCCTCCTCCTCCTTTACCTTGTCCTCCTCTGCTTCCCCCCTCCTCCTCCCTGCCCTCTCAAGTGCCTGCTTCCCCATGCCTTCTCCTCCTCGTCCTTCCCCCCCTCCCCCTCTCCCCCCTCTCCCTCCCTCCCCCCCTCCCCGAAAGAGCTTGCTTCGCCTCCCCGGAAGAGCCCGCGCCGCCGCGCGTTGGCACCACGACCCGCCGGCACAGGGCTCGGCAGCACCCAACGCGCCCCGGCCCCCCGCGGCTGGCGCCGCCCGCAGGCGAGCTCGAGGACGGGCTGTTCGACCTGGTCGTGGACAAGGCGCCCTCCTTACAGGCCGTCAGGCCTGTCCTCAGGGGCGCGCCACAGAGCCAGGGGAACAACAAGTGGCATAAACATAAAAACTCAGAGGTCCGCGCGGATTTCTCGGATCGGCGCTGGACCCCCCTCCCTGGCGCGGGGGCGGCGCCGGAGGCGCCGCCGGGGGGCCCCAGCGCCGATCCGAGAAATCCGCGCGGACCTCCGAGTTATTATGTTTATGCCACTTTTTGCTCCCCTAAGGGCGTCTCTTCTGGTTCCTGGGGGATGACGGACGTTCGGAGGGCGGGGGGGGCGAGGGGGGGGGGAAGGCCGGTCACGCCACGTTCCGCGCCGGCGCCGTTCGGGGACGTCTGGGAAGAACCAGAGACAAAGCGGAGGTCAGTACGAAATGTGACGTTGCCTGGGGGTGGGCGGCCGGGGCTGGAACGGCCGCGCGAAGAACAGAAAACGCGCAGTGGGCACTGCAACGCACCGGCCCCACATTGCCCGCTCATTGCCGACAGGGGCCCGATAGCCCGCCCTGCCCTGGAGGGTGCGGATTTTATGTCGGGGGCCTATCGCCGATCTATTGGCGATGTGTCGCTGGTTCCAGCTCGACGTTCCCCCCTCCTGAGCTGGTCCCCTCCCTTATCCCAGACCCCCGACGGCATGAACGTCGGGAGAAATCCGGGGAGTAGCTGCATTGGTACCTTTTATGTTTTGTTCTTCGCAGACATCCTCGCGTCGGGGTAAACATCACGGCGGGAGGTTTTGAATCGATCTTGGTCTCCAAAGCCGGTCCAGGGAAAGGGTCCAGGTTTCAGACCTCTGGCGAACCACGACGACGGATGCCAGGGAGGCGTTGAGGCTCAAAGGAGGGAAAACGCCCCGACGCCCCGGCCCCAGTACATGGCGTCCACTGAGCAGTCTTGGGCGTCTACTGAGCAGTCCTGCCCGCATCGATCCCTCCTCCGGGTGTGCTTACTGGAGGGCACAGCATGTAAGTGCTCTTATGATGAGCGTGGCTCTTCTGCCTTCAAGGAGGCGTCTCCGCCGCGCCCCTCGTGGAAACTCCCGTGGTGAGACGACAGTTGTCGCTCGCTTGCTCGCCTCTGGCCAAGAGCCTCGGAAGGGATGGTGGTGATGCTGTGTGCAAGAGGGTGAACGGGCAGGTTCCAATAATAACAAACGGCGTAAGCATACCCTTTCGTTGGTCCGCGCGGACCTGTGAAGTGTCATGTTCATGTATACGTAGTTTCCCTCACATTTGCTCGTACCTACTACTACTACTACTACTACTACTACTACTACTACCACTACCACTACCACTACCACTACTACTACTACTACTACTACTACTACTACTACTACTACTACTACTACTACTACTACTAATACTACTAACTACTAGACTACTACTACTACTACTACTGATACTGCTATACTACTACTACGATACTACTACTACTACTACTAACTACTACTATACACTCGGCTACTACTATACTACTATATTACTTACTACTACTACTACTACTATACTTACTATACTACTACTACTACTACTACTACTTACTACTACTACTGACTACTACTACTACTACTACTACTACTACTACTACTACTACTACTACTACTATACTACTACTACTACTACTACTACTACTACTACTACTACTACTACTACTTACTACTACTACTACTAGTACTAGTACTAGTACTAGTACTAGTACTAGTACTAGTACTAGTACTACTACTGCTACTACTACTACTACTACTGCTGCTACTACTACTACTACTACTACTACGACTACGGCGACGACTACTTCTACTATTACTACTACTATTACTATTACTGCTACTACTACTACTACTACGACTACTACTACTACCTACTGTTACTACTACGACGACGACTACTACTATAATAATAATAATAATAAAACTACTACTACTACTACTATTACTACTATTACTACTACTACTACTACTACTACTACTACTACTACTACTACTACTACTACTACTACTACTACGACTACTACTATTGCTGCTGCTGCTACTAATACTATTGTTACTACCAACACAACTAAAACCAGTAGCAACATTATTCAGTTCTAATAACACTATGGACAATACGGGTCGACATAGTACGACTCATAATACTATGTATAACACTCATAATACTGCGACTCGTACTATCACTACCCATGCTGGTATTGATGTTTATAGGATGATTAAGTCTGGTACTAAACACACTGAGAATATTACTCCTTACAAGAAGAGTACTGCTAGCACGAATAAGCTACTAATACAATCGCGAAGAAAATGCGAAGACTAGTACGACGAAAAAGAAACAGATGAGGAGGAAGGGGGGAGGAGATGGAGGAGGAGGGAGGAGGCTGGAAAGGAGGAGGGGAGGAACGGACGATGACAAGGAGGATCAGAAGTCGGGTTTGGGGAATCTGTTGTCGTGATAGTTTTGGAAGGACGATTCAGGCCATCTTAGGGGCTCTCTTGGGGTCCCCGTGGGGCCCCTTGGGGCACTCTTGGGGCCCTCTTGAGGTCTTCGGGCCCTGTTGGGGCTGATTTGATGGGCCTGGGATGCCTCTGGCCCGCATGGCTCAAAGAGGGGGGTACTCAACCCAGGCACCACCATCGGATACTCAAACATTGCGTCTTTGGGCCTTCTGGGGCCCCGCTTTGGGGCGTCTCCTGGGCGCTCTTGGGGCCGTCGTGGGGCGCTCTCGAGAAGCGCTCTCGAGCAGCTCTTGGGGCTCTCTTGGGCCATCTTGGGGCCATCTTGAAACCCCCCAAACCCATCGGAAGCGAAAAAGCGAGAAGGCAAATCACATTGATGTTCCTTAGGTTTTTGAAAGATTTTGGCCTCTTGGTGAGAGTGCCTAGGAAGGTTTAAAAGGCACTTGAAACCGTCTTGGGGCTGTCTTGGGGCCTTTACGAGGCATGTGAGAGGCTATATTGAACCGCCTTCGGCCATCTTGAGCCATCTTGGGGGCCGTCTTGGGCTGCCGAGGGCCCTCTTGGAGCCATCTTGGGCCCATCTTGATGCTCTAACTACCCGGTCTCCCCCCCCCGCCCAGGCGAGGGGGTAGGGGGAGGGGTCAAGACACCATACATTTCAAGCCGTCTAGCTCACTTCCACCCGCCCGCCCAACACATAAGTAACACCCGAGCCCGAGCGTGTTCAGCGGTCGCCTTTGGATGGGTAGCTACTGAGAACCAAAACCGACCCCATGTGCGCGATGCTGGGGCGAGGTGCGCCACGCGTGCCAGGCGCGCCACGCGCGCCAGGCACCCCTGGGGCCCGAGCGTGCCAGGCAAGCCTGGTGCGTCAGGTTCGCCACGTGCTCCGCGTGCGCCAGGTGTGCCGCATACTCCAGCCACGCCAGGTGCGCAAAGTTCCGGGCACGTGCCGAGTGTGTCAGGTGCGCCTGCGCACGTGACAGCTCACACTGGAAAACACTAGAGGCCTCCAACATCCTTGTCGAAAACCAATGCCCATCATTGTGTGTGGTGGGCTTGCGCGCAGCAGGCCATACGCCACCACCCCCGCCGTCCTTGTCAAAGACCACTTGACAGTGATCGTGGGGTGACCGCGCACGATCAAGTTTTCGCCGCGAGGTGCATTACGTGTTGTTTTCCAACCATCCTGTGGTGGTGGTGGGTCATCGTTTTGAAGAAACGGTGCCCGCGTTCCTTCCCTCCTTCCCTTCCTCTTTCCTTCCTTCCTTCCTCTCCTCCCTCCTCCCCCTCCTCCCTGCTCCCATCCCTGCCTCTGCCCTCCGCATGTCTTCGTCGCCGTCTCCCTACCCAGCACAGCGTTCCGTGGCCCCATATGGAGCTACACCGAATGCCCTAGTGGCGGTGTCCACATGCGCCCCCCCCCCCAGCATAGAGCTTCGTGGCCCCATAGGGAGCTCCACCGAATGCCCCAGTGGCGGTGTCCACATGCGTCTCCCCCACCCAGCACAGCGCTTCGCTTCGTAGCCCCATGGGGAGCTCCACCGAAGGCCCTAGTGGCGGTGTCCACATGCGTCCACCCCACCCAGCACAGAGTCTCGTGGCCCCATGGGGAGCTCCACCGAATGCCCCAGTGGCGGTGTCCACATGCGTCCCCCCCACCCAGCACAGCGTTTAGAGGCCCCATAGGGAGCTCCACCAGATGCTCCAGTGGCGGTGTCCACATGCGTCTCCCCCACCGAATGCCCCAGTGGCGTTGTCCACATTCGTCTCCCCCACCCAGTACAACTATTCGTGTCGCCATAGGGAACTCCACCGAATGCCCCAGTGGCGATGTCCACATGCGCCCCCCCACGCCCGCCCAGCACAGAGCTTCGTGGCCCCATGGGGAGCTCCACCGCAGCCCCCAGTGGCGGTGTCCACATGCGTCCACCCCACCCAGCACAGCGCTTCGTGGCCCCATAGGGAGCTCCACCGAATGCCGTAGTGGCGGTGTCCACATGCGTCCCCCCCACCCAGCACAGAGTTTCGTGGCCCTATACGGGGCTCCACCGAATGCCCCAGTGGCGGTGTCCACCTGCGTCTCCCCCACCCAGCGCACAGCGTTTGGAGGTCCCATAGGGAGCTCTACCGGATGCTCCAGTGGCGGCGTCCACATGCGCCTCCCCCACCCAGCACAGCGTTCCGTGGCGCCATAGGGAGTTCCACCGAATGCCTCAGTGGCGGTGTCCACATGCTTCTCCCCATCCCAGTACAACACTTCGTGTCGCCATAGGGAGCTCCACCGAATGCCCCAGTGGCGGTGTCCACATGCGTCCACCCACCTAGCACAGCGTTTCGCAGCCCCATACGGAGCTCCACCGAAGGCCCGAGTGGCGTTGTCCACATTCGTCTCCCCCACCCAGCACAGCGCTTCGTGGCCACATGGGGGAACTCCACCGAATGCCCCAGTGGCGATGTCCACATGCGTCTCTCCCACCCAGTGCAGCGCTTCGTGGCCCCATGGGGAGCTCCACCGAAGGCCACAGTAGCGGTGTCCA